ATACACAAATGAGTTTCGAGTGTGAGATTGAAAGTAGAATGAGATTCCCACAAACGATCTTAAAGCAAAAGTTATTGTTTTTTAAAGTAGGTAAATCAATTAAAACTTAACATTTAAACAAGTGGGAAAGGGTAATTCTAGGGAGGATGATTGCAAACAACAGTCTGAGAACAGACTCACTTGATGGGGCATATGACTGGAGAGAGGGTCAAGAGTTCATTAAACAGTGTAATCGCTGGGATGAGGCAGCATAATGGGGCTTCAGATTAGCTGTGTGTGTGTGTGTGTGTGTGTGTGTGTGTGTGTGTGTGTGTGTGTGTGTGTGTGTGTGTTTTAGCTCCAGATTAGCAGCAACATGTGTGTACTGTGCAGCATTTAAAGCGCAGTAAGGAATGATGTGACACAATATGTTGCAAGTGAATTTAAATCACACACTAACACGCAACAATCTTATCTTTTTAACTTAATTTAAAATTAAATAAATGGAAATAAACAACTGACTGGCAGCAAACGAGTGAAATTCAGAAAAAAACCTTCAAACTCCTTGTCATCAGAAATTGTGTAATCCTTAAATCCTGTTGTGGTTGTGCGTTTAACTTTCAAAAATATATTTGTGTGTGCACATTGAGTGACACAGGTTTTGTTATTATTATAGAGATTTCCAGATGGAGTGCAGCCCTGCCATGCAGGATACACTCTCTCACTGGGACCCACGTCATACGTCGTACATGCGTCAGCATCAAAATCACTACACACATACAAATTCCTCGTAGAATGTACTGGTATATGAAAATAGCCATGCAGCTGCGGTTGTACATTTGGTAAGACAGGATGGGAAAATAGAACAACGAGATTACTGTGTGACACTGCCGTGAAATTAGTGAAAGAAAGTTGAACAAGAAAAATTGAAAATGTGTCATACAATAAGAGGAGCGCTGTTCATTGTCCAGCTGCAGCATCAATTCTCCAACAAATTAAATACTAAAAACATACATCATACAATTGTTCTCTTTTTTTATCAGTACAATTAATCTTCTAAGTCTCTTTGCCTCTAAACATTTATTTAAAAATATTTCCTGTAAAAACACTGTATCTTTCTTTCATTGTGCTGTTCACTTGCAGCTCAGGAAAAAAGTAGCAGGGCTGGACATTTTGTAGCAAACCGGCAGGCACTTAAATCCTACTTGGCAGATGATTGGATTAACCATTTAACATTATATAAAGACACTTGAGAAGACCGAAAACAATACAAATGTCCATTGCCTTCAGCTGTTCTTTGCTCTTCTTTTAACAAAGCAATCATTTCAATTTTTGTATTAACTTTCAGCCTGAAAGGTAAGGATTATGTAAGAAATTGAATAGAATGCAAACACAACCTATTGTCTGTTAGCCAATTAAGATGTTGCAAGTTCTGGGGTCTAAATGAGAGAATAATAATAACATATTTCCTTTTAACTTCATCACAATGATGGGAAGATGATCTTTATAAACAAAACGAATAAACCGCAGCAAAACCTGTATGTTTAGATGATGCATTACTTCTACTAAAATACAACATACCTCCTTGGTAATACAGTGTATATATACATTAGGTAGCATTTAACTTAGCTGGGACATGATGGAGTCACGGGGTGAAGAGGAAATGAGCCGAGAGGATCTAATTGATAGAATAAGCATCCTCACCAGAGAATTATTAACATATCTTCATTGAACCTTGATTTTTTTTAACAGCTCCTTGGAAGCTGATTTGATTGCATTAATTAGGGAGCTTGAATTATTGGGCTGGTAATAATGTAGTAGATGGCCTGCCTCTCATCAACTTACTGCAGGCAGTATGACAGCCACATGAAACGTCAGGATTCTTTAGAGCCTCATTTATGCAGACCTGAGATCAGTCCAAGAATTCCCGGTGTGAAAACTAATTCTGCGGCAGTCATTTAAGTTTCTAGTTTGATTTTGAGAGTTCACTTTGCTCTGCTCTAATGACTGGAAGCTATTTATTCAGTGGTGTTAGAAGAACTCTTACTGAAGTAGAAAGGTATAAGCATCGAATAGTACCAAAGTTAAAGTAGTTATTATTCGGAATTTTTGAATTATTGATTAATGTCAACAAAATAGGAGTGTTGCAGATGCTAAAGCTATACAAATACATTGTACTTATTTTGTTGTATAGATGTTGTAGTATAAAACCAAAACTGCAAAACAGATCATTTATAAATTGTGAAATAAATTGTAGGGGAGGACTAAAGAACACAATCTGACTCCAGCAATACTGATTTAGGCATATCGAATATGGTCTTTAATACAGCTTCCAACTTAGAATGGCAGCACTGAGTACAGTGTTGCTGGTCAACGCTCAATGAAAGATAAAATGTTACACCATCTTGGTTTTTGCACATATAGTATCACCTGCATTTTATCTTGACAGCTTGTTTTGTATACTCTTAACCAATGATTCCATGTTAGCAATGGATCAAATGGACTACATGTATGTGAAGAAAGTAATTTTTAGTGACAATCTCAATTAATACCAACTCTACAGTTTCCCTCAGATCTATGGAGCCTTTGGAAAAGTATTGTTTGCTTCACCCACAGTCCTCTAATCAGCATCATCAAACACAATATATGTCATGCACATTATACGTACTATGTTAGTGTTAGCATTTAGCAGCTAAAGAGCAGGACAAAGGTATAGTGAATTTAATGGAGCATTCCCCTCAAGAGTTGGTTGAGACCAAAAATAAAGCTAAAAGGAGAGTTCATTGTGGACTTACATTCATCAGGCCTTTAGAAATAAAAATAAAATCCATCACTATCTGCTAGATATTAAGATAAGGTTATTGTTTTTGCAAACAATGTTGCCTTTGAGGATGATAATTTAGTGTTACTACCTGATTCTGCTGCTGCCCCCAAGTGGCCAAAAAAAAAGTGCCTTTAACACAAAATGAAGTGAAAATGAAGTGGCAACTCAGTCTTAATATTTAGCTACACCTTCCCATTTCTGAGTTTATTCCACTACATATTCAACATTCTGCAATAAGCAAACTTTATGAGTAATGGATATGAGTAATGGCTGTGTGAAATGGGCGGGTTCCCTCAGAGGCTACATTGTTTTGTGCTCTTGTGGACATGTGGTTACAAAAAAAACACCTAATGAACCAGTTTAGAACTTCAATACGAGTTAGTACACAGGGAAAAAAGACTTCAATCACACGATGGATTAATGAGACTCCACTCAATGAAGCACTTCCATCGCTCTTCCCTAAAGTCATCATTAAAACAGTTACATTAACAGTTATGTGCCAGTAAACACACCGTAGAGACACTCTGTCAACGTCAACCAGCTCAACTGCTCCACCCTTCTTTTCCTCCTTTTATCTCTCCATCCCTGTCTCGCCTCCATATGGATGGATTGTGAAAGACAAGGTGATTTGTGAGTGCAGCTCTAACAAGTATATTCTCATGTACACACACAGCTGATAAATCTTCCACACACAAATTAAACTCACAATATGACTTAACCCAGAGTTTATAACGAATCCTATCACATAACATCTGCCACATACATTCATCATAATAAGGGGTTTAACTGCTAACTTTGCCACCCCATCTCTCTGTGGGTTCCCGCTCTCACACATAAAGACCTGACAGCTTTACAGGAAATCGTTGCAGACCGGACGTATCAGCCGAGATGAGTGACGTTGACAGGACGGGAGCATTTCTAGATCGGCTTGGCCCCTCGTCAAATCAAACGTAAAGCAATGAAAATCCCAGCATGCTGAGAGATTTACCAAAATATACATGAAGCGAAGATAGTATGGCTTCATTCACATAGTGACATACATATTCCTGGTTGAATGTCGGCAGTTCCCACCCCTTTTTGGTTTGTCACTCTTAATACAAATCCTTGTTTCTTCACCATATTAGTGTGTGCATGTGTTGGGAACAGCCCAATTGTCAGGTTGTTTAATTTAAATTGAGAAAAATACATTTAGTTTTATGTGAAAGAAATATGATTTTCTGCGATTTTTCCATCCCCCCCATCTTGTGATCCCCTATATCCCCTATATCAAGGACCATATGGGTCTACTGGTCTCAACATTATACATTCACAAATATTTCAGAAGTCTGAAGCGTTTAAAGCTGCCAATATTTTACAAGAATTAGACAAAGGTCAGATATCAATATCATTTTGTCCCATATAAATAGGATTTTTCTACCCCTTCTAATCATATTGAAACTGTTTAGATCCATCTGATACCATGGTCAATTATGATCAAAAGTTTTTCAAAAGCCTAAAGGAAAGATAATCTAATTAGACACAATAATTCATTTAAATTTAAAATAATGATATCTTTCACTTTTATTTTCCTGTCAATCAGCTTGTGACCCCTCAGGTGTATCTTGTGAGCCTTTCAGGGGGCCACATACACCCTGCTGGGACCCGCTGATCTATGTTAATGTGAACTATGGAGCTCAAAGAAACTGTGTTACATTATGCTGCAACATGGTATATGCAAACTGGAAAAGAAAGCCACTAATGAAGAAAAATGAGAGCCGCTACATGCAGCTTATGGGACCAATCAATGAGCATTACCAGATAACTGATACGACAGTGAAACACTGCTAGTGCAACATCTATAATCCATAAGTGATTGTGAAGGTATGAAAGGATTTTGCGCACACACACACACAAAAACACACACACTCTAAAAAAGCAGCTGAATGAAATATCCTAATATGTCCTCTTGTTATAGTAACAACTGGCTGTTCTGTTTCTGTCAGCAGCAGATGGGAGCTTTCTCTCTCTCTTCACTTATGAAAACTGAAAGTATGACTGCACTCATACTGTGGGTCTATCCTTACATTCCCCCTGAGCTGCTTGTGCTAGTTTTTGTCTATTCTATCTTCATATCTTATATATAAACAACCATTTCCTGACGGTCGATCAGATAAAGTCACAGAATAAGTGTGTGATGCAGTGTATGTGTGTAACTTACCTGTGCTTTCTGCTGTCATCCAACTGCTCCATCGTTCCCCGGCTGGTTTCCTCCAAATGTTTTTCTTTTTCTGTTTCACCTGTTTTTCACCTGCCTCTCTCAGCACCTGTATGAGTATGCATTTAGACCAGATCTCTGTGTGAGAGCGAGTGTGTGTGAGCTATCAGTGACTGTGTGTGTTTGGCAGCTTTGGATGTCTGCACACTCCCCCTGGAGAACTTCACAACGTGACAGCAAGTGTTTTTCCCCCCCCCAAAAAACTGTCTTTTCTAACTCCTCTCTTTCTTCGCTCCTGCTTGCACTTCTTCCTCTGTTCCAGATTTACAACTGGTCATGAAGGTGAAGACAGGACATCAAAAATGGGGAAGGAAAAGTGAGGGAAGAGAAGGGTGTTGAAAGGTGCGGGAACAGCCAGTGTGTGTGTGTGCATATGTGCATAAACCCACAGTGTTTAGCTCTCTGTCTCTATCCCTCAGGCTCCCTGCTGCTCGGATGAGGAGAGGAGCTAAAGGGGGGTGGGGGGTGGGGGGTTGGAAGAATGATAAAATGCCTCTTGAGCGGAGGAGCACAAACACCGGTAACACTTCAGCAGCGGTGGCAGTGACGCTTCCCCGCCGTCTCCTCCTTTCTCCCCCTATCCACCTCCTCTGTCTCCCTTTCCCTCTCCCTGCTCGGGGGTACAAGACACGACAGATCCATGGGAAGTTAGAAAAATCTCACATAGCGATAAAAAAAAGGGTCCTGTGCACGCCTCTGCATGTTCGGAGCAAAAGTTCCCCCCCCCCCCCTCTGGTCTGGGTATCAGCCCCTCAGGTGATGTTACTCCACGGCAAGGGATGCCCCCGGTGACGATGAGCGTCCTCAGGTCCTCTGTGATGAAAAAGGATGAGGGGAGGAGAAGATTTGGGTTTTCTGGCCCCTCCTCGCCCTATTTCCCATATGGATGGGGGTTGATCCAGATGTTGGTGGATGGTGGGAGCGTCAGGAACGCAAAGAGAACGCCGGGACAGATGGCAGGTCTGTGGGGTTGGGCCGCCTGTGCACTAGCAGGTCCTCATCCTGTTGCACTGATATGGTTTTTTTTTCTTTTCCCACTACAGTTTCTCTCTCTCTCTCTCTCTCTCTCACCGCTGCGCTGACGCTCATCTGCCAGTGCTGTCACACCAGTAATCCTGCTTTCCACTTCCTTTTTAACTCCATCTTTTCTTTATCTCTTTCTATCTCCTCTCACTCCTTCACAGGAGGGGCTGCATGTGAGTCCTGATAATAATGGTGTGAGGATTTAGTCTGCCTCCCATCCTCTCATCCCTCTCTCGCTCACTTCAGCGCAACCCCTCCTCCTCTCCCAGCCCACTTTTGCTCCCGTTTTCTCAGTATTATTCACCTTCATCCTGTCATGTATCCTGCCTTCTTCTCCTTAAATCACCTCACTGTAATGCTCTGCTGCTTCCTTCCCTAGTTCTGCCTTTTTTTGTTTCCTTTACCCTCAACAGGTCCAAAATGCATCCCATTAACAGCATTGTTTTTCCAGGCTGGACCCCTCGGGCTCTGTCCATTGTTAATTAGTGTGAATACATTTCCGCATTGTCAATAAGCCAACACACATCTCATTTACCCTGGGCTGTCGACAAGAGGCACACAAGCCAAAATCCCAACAAAGAGACAGAGCAAATACTGCAGTGATCTTTGTTAAACAGTCCATTATAGGGGAGTTTCAACAATTGTCTACATCAACTTCAGTGTTCAAACTGAATAATAAGCTGATTTTTCTGCCTTGTGTGATTTGCATAAAGTTTTTTGGGACCATCTGTATAGTCTGTGTTTGTCTGTGTTATATATACCAACTGTGCAGACATTTGCTATGCCTAGCTAGCAACATACGCAGTGTGTGTGTGTGTGTGTGTGTGTGTGTGTGTGTGTGTGTGTGTGTGTGTGTGTGTGTGTGTGTGTGTGTGTGTGTGTGTGTGTGTGTGTGTGTGTGTGTGTGTGGTGTGTGTGTGTGTGTGCGTGTGTGTGTGTGTGTGTGTGTGTGTGTGTGTGTGTGTGTGTGTGTGTGTGTGTGTGTGTGTGTGTGTGTGTGTGTGTGTGTGTGTGTGTGTGTGTGTGTGTGTGTGTGTGTGTGTGTGTGTGTGTGTTTGATTGGCAGCTCAGCCTCTGACTGATCTCAGAACTCACCAAGTTGAAAACAAGTTCAAACATTTGCTCCAGTTAGTGTCACCTAGCGAAGAGCTCATTTGCGTCTTGTATTGCATTTCTTTTAACAATCATCCCAGCTAGAAATCTTGGGTTCTAAAAACATTCTGAGAATGTTACCATTCACTGTTCCAGGAATATTTTCAGCGGGAAGTTTTATTTGGTTCCCAGAATGTTCTTCTGAAAGGTAGGATAATATAAAAACATTCTTAAAATGTTTGGTGATAACTTTCTTAAGATGTTTTTGATAACCTTCTTAAGACGTTTTTGATAACATTGTTCGAACATTATGCCCTACTATTCTTAAAATGTTTTCAGCCGGACGTTTTATTTTAGTTCCCAAAATGTTCTTCTGAAAGGTAGGATAACGTTCCCTAAAAACATTCTTAAAATGTTTGGTGATAACCTTCTTCATTTTTTTTTGATAATTAAGATGTTTTTGATAACATTGTTAGAAAAAAATGAATTATGCTATCGCGTTGAAGAATGTTTGTAGAAGTTTCCTAACTTTGTGAAACTGTAATAATAAACCTGTAATGAAACTCTTTATTATTCGTATAACTGGAAAAAACATAATCAATAACAATTTTGATTATTTGTATTCATTATTGATGTTTAGGCTATGTTTACAGCAACTACCTCACTGTTTCCTATATCACAAATATGTTTTTTTGTCTGGAGTGCATCATTTTTAATATATACATTTTGAATTATCAGTTTGAGGGTTGATTTAAAGAAAATACAGCAAATAAATAAAACGTAAACAAATGCATTCACCAAGGGAAAGCTCAAAAGCACAATGAAAAACATGCTGCAAGTTCACAAACTCTGCAAGTGATAAACAAATACCAATTTGTTTCTGGATGATGTGCACAAAACACAAAATATGAGTTATAGGCAGTTTTAGCTCATCCTGAGATGTGTTAAAAAAACTCATAAATCCCCTAAATTGACTTTTGAGTTGAGATTATTTTGCAAATTAACTTTCATATTCTCAGTATATTGGTATTAATGGAGATATTTGAGATGTGTTTTGTAGGTACGCCTTCTGTTCAAAACAGTATAGATTGATAAATTAGAGTCAACACATCACATTTACCCTGAATTATGTTAAGCTAAACACATGCAGTTAAAGCCGAAGAGACAAAGCAAAATTACAATGAACCTGGAAGTGCTACTCCCATACAAATGTGTCTCTCCTTATTTTGTGCTGTCCATCTCAACTAAGATCAAAGTGAACATAGTAAGCCGATTTTCCCAAGGGGAAACATAAAAGTAAATCACTCCATCATAGTTCTCACTCTGAGAGAAATCGCATGGTTTTTAAGTAATGTTGACTGGAATCGTGTTGACATGCATAAATGTGTGTCTGTTGCCCCTTTCACACCAGCGCTTTTTCAGCTCCGGCTCGGAGCTGGAGCCTGAAAAGCGCCGGTTTTTCCTGTTCACACCACAGCGGCGCCGGCTCTTAGCTCCGGAATCCGGTTCACTTCCAGCTCCAAAAAATTGTCTGTCTAGAGGCAAGAGCTTCGGAGCTAAGAGGTGGCGTCGCTTACGTCTCTCTTACGTCGAGGCGTGCAGGAAACTCAACCCACCTCCCCTGAACATGGGTCGACTGTCATGCCTGCCTACAAGCAGTAGTGCTTAATAAACACACTTTATAACGTCAGGCAACACTAACCAGGCTTCGCGTGATTCTGTTTATTTGTACCTTACTTTGACCATCCGTTCACTGTTATTGATCATTGTGGAGAGAGGCAGACGTGTTGTTTTGTATTATAGCAGCTATCGGATGGAATCAATACATGGGCTGCACAGGTTGTCGTGTCCGACTATCACAAGTAGAATCATAATAAAAATACGCCTGTAAAATGTGCCTGTCGAAAACGGTTTATGCCACAATAGGATAGCAATAGCAAGTAGTCAGTTTAGCTTCGGTTGCTATGCTAACATCACCCATTTTATACCAGAGAAACTTTCAGAACGGCGTTGTGATACCAAACAGCGTCAATTCAGACTGACACACATTCACTTAGGCTAAGGGGAACTGGGGATATGTATCAGCTGCTTGTGTGAGTCGGACAGTGAATACTTTAGAGCGCAGTGTGAGCTAACCGGGAGCTAACGGAGGAGAATAAACTCCCGTGGAAGAGCAGCCAACACTGCAGCGGTCGGTAAATGCTGCAGAAACACATTAATAAACAATGAACCACGGCACTCTGGAGCAAAGTATAAGGTTGGAGAAGTCGTTATTCAATTTATTCTGGCTTCGTGTGATTAAAAGCAACACGATCATCGACCCGACGCAGTTCCCCGTTGTTGTGAGCGCCGTAATGCCGTTGGGGAGCAAATCAGCGATGTAAACGGTGACGTCATGACGCAGCACCAGTCGGGTGCTGGGCGGTGTGAACAGAGCGGGAGCAGAAAAGGGAAACCGGAGCTGAACCAGAAAAGCTCTAGCTCGGAGCTAGAAAGGGAAAAGCGCTGGTGTGAAAGCCGCATGTGTAGTGAAAGGAGAACGTAGAGACTGCCTTTCACTTTTTTCCTCTCTTCATGGCCGACTTGTAACAGTTATCTCGCGAAGGAGAGACAAACAAATTCCACTTTTCTTTGTCAGACATGTGTTTTTAGTTTTAAAGAGCTCTGTCTTTTGCAGGTTGCCATCACTCCCAATAAAAGCTGTTTTCTTCTTTTTGTTCACTAGGCAGCTTGGTCAGGTGACAGGCCTTTTAACACAACGCTATAAATACAGACGAGTGTTAAAATAGAGTGTTTGAGATGTGAGACATGTGACTGAGGCGTCTATATCTGTGTGGGATGTGTGTAGTAGATACAGTGGTACAGCTGATGAATGGAACAGACAATAGAGGACAGATGTTTTAAAGGGTAGTCTCTCTGACAGCAGCTGGACAGTGTGTACGGCAGCCAGCAGGGGACATATGTTCTTCGGCCCACAGCACGATCACATCCACAGATTAACTCAGATGGATTCACTAAGATGCTAAATTATGTTTACTGGAAAAGCTTGCTAATAAATGAATAATTCTACAATTCGACTAGTATTTAGGAGGATTTATGTTACATATGTGAGATGTGGATTTTGTCCAGCAGTTCTTGTCTGGAACATCTGCAACTCTACAAGTAAATTACTCATTGTATAGTGTTAATATATCAGAACAGAAGATTTGCAATTTAGACAAATAAATGTATCTTGTAAGTCACTTATAGGTCAAACATTAAGTTCTCAAATGTGACGATCCGTCAATTTTTCTTGAATCCTTTTCCAATTGAATGTACTATAGGTGGATTTTGGTAGTGAAACAATTTTTTCCTCACCGACAACTCTACTCAAGTTTTCAGCAGCAACACTGACGAGTTTGATGTCATGAGGCATGAATTTGCAACTCTCAACTATCAGACGAACATGCTGGCAAGGATAAAAGTAATATATAAGCTCAGTCTGAGGCATACAATTCAGATGGATTGGCACATTTCACATTTGGAGCCAGTTATCAACTAAAACTGGGTCTCAACTCCCATCCTTAACAACCCTTGTTCCCCAACACATGCCTATTAACATGTTCATGTGACAACGAAATCAAGCAGCGGCTGTAGAAATGAGGACACTTGGAATACACTGGAAGTCTTAACCTTCAACAAATTATTTTTGTCCCTAAGCCACCAAAACTTTAAATACAAATATGTCGTAAAAAAAAGCTTGAATTCCTTTAACAGTAAATGTGATTTTTCACAGGTTTGAACTGAACTGACATTTCATAGACCAAACTACTCATTAATCACACAAATCCTAAACTGATTCATCCATTGTCAAAATAATCCTTTCATTGTAGACCTCACCCTGCGGAATGAGGATGCTAGCATGTTTGTCGCCGCTTCACTTCGTAGCCAAAATCGTGTTTGCTGTGCTGTTTTTCCGTGCTATTTTGTGTTCTAACAACCACAAAATCCACTGCAAATAGTCTGCTAAAGCTATCATAATAGCCAGATCATGTCTGGATCTATCGACTGTGTACCTATTACCAGTA